GTAGCTGCACTCTCCTCACTGTAGATATATTATGTCCATTTGATATAACCATGATCGGTAAGTTGACCCTTCACAGGTTGTTCGTAATTACAGCTGGGTCAAAATACCGCTTTACCCCTGTAATTACCTCTTGTTCCTTAAGTCCCACTAATCCTCTGATGAACAATGATTTGTAGTCCAACTATCAAATCAAAAAATCCTCTCAAACCTTTTGATGAGGGTGGCGCCAATTGTTCAAGACCTGGATTCAGCCCTTAAGAGAACAACCTCTCTACTATCCCAAAATTGGGTAGAAGTGAATTCCTTCTTGCACCCTATGTCCCTAGCTATCTACCGGGTCTTACCCTTGAAATGGGAGGCTTATTGAGCCAGCGCTGTTGAGCTGCTCTCACTCATGCAGATCTAAGGATAATCCCGAGTAAACAGAAGTTCATAGTTAGCTCAGGATTAAGATCGAGTTACCTAGGCCATCAAAGTTGAGATAGTCAGTTTCAAACAGTAAACGGTGTTATAAAGTAAAAGTGACTATCTCATGGTCCGGTCTAATGCAAACTCTTTGCACGGGACACCCCCACTCGCATGTCTTCACATGAACGAATTAGGATCACATCGTTTGTACTAGCTACAAAGTGGGCCGCATCCATAGTGTCCCCAGAATAAGGCGCCCAACCTTATTCCTATACTATAGACCATTTTGACTGTTAACTCAAACTTGAATATGTCTCTTACATAGAATTTGAGTCTCAGGTAACAGTCTAGGATCCTTTATTTTATTGGATTTAGATATAGAAAGAACATTTTATTGGATCAATAACTACTTATTGATTAGAACCTTCAATAACAACTTTATTGAATGATAAAAGTATATCTGTCATTTTCAAACTATGAGTTTTAGAACATAAAACCCAACATCTTGAAGGTCCAAATTTAAAATATGAAAACAAATATAAAGATGTTTTCATAATTTCTACTATGATCACACCATTCGGAAACAGATATTCCATTTGAAGCATAATTGGGATTGGGCTTCTACAGTTTAACTTTTTTGTAAGCCTTTGTTTTGTTTACTTTTGGCAGGTTTTCTTCACACTCAGATTTAGTGGTTCTTTTTTGTTTAGTAAATGGAAGATGAAGCTGCCGGAGCTGTAAGTGTAAATCCCAATGGCTATAATATCACTACAGAATATGACACTCTATCTACAGAAATTGATTGGAGACATATGCCAATTATCGCTGAACTATGCTAGTTTTAGCCAGGTAACTACGGTTTTATTTTGTAGTAAGCGCAATATATTATTTTTCTTCTAAAATTGACTTGGTACTAGAACAGTTAACTAAACCCTAATTCTAATAACCAGTTATCATCACTGTTTGCCATTATTGTCGTCGTCTGTTGTTATAGTCGTCGTCTGCCATTACTATCATCGTTTGCCGTCACAGTCATCGTCCATCGTCACCGTTGCCATCTGCTGTCACTATTATCGTCCCGAACGTTGTCGTAATATGATTAGCCTTCTTCGTCTACTGTATGATATGAAGAAGCACCGTTTTTCATGGGTTTTTTCATAGATCTACATGGGTCTCTATCGGGATCGTTGTTTGTGGTTCTTCGTTGGTGGAAGTTGAAGCTCGTCGTCGTCTGTTCGCTGCTGTCTATCTTCTTTTGCTAGAGAGTTAGTCGTCTCTGTCCGCTCTCTTTCACAGTTGTCATAATTCGCCGCCACCAACTAAGGTTCTGCTTCTGTTTTTTAAATTACTATTTGTGGTTCTTTGTTGCTGAATGAGTAACCATGATTAATGAATCTTCTAAGAAAACAGATCAGCACGTGACTCTTAGATTTATGGAATCTGATTCAATCCCACTAGTCATCTTGTCCAGATAACTAACATCTAGCCTAATGGAGATAATTTTCTTTGTTTATTTCAAGGTGTTTGGATGTATATTCGTAGACAACGTAAAATTGGCTATCTTACTAGAGATAAAAAAGCGGAGACAAAAAAGCACCAGTCGTAGAAAATCCTTTATTTACTATGTGGGATGCTTAAAATTCTATGGTAATGACATGGTTAGCTAATTCCATGGATGAGGAGATCAATGTCAACTATATGTGTTATTCTACATCGAATGACTTATAGGATAACGTAAATGAGATGTATTTTGACTTGGAAAATCAATCAGAAGTATTTGAATGGACCTTAAACTGTGTGAAATACGACAAGGAACTGATACAGTTATAAAATATTTTCATTCTTTAAAGAGGGTTTGGCAAGACCTAGACCTTTTTATGCTTATGAGTGGAGATCTTTGAATGACTATAAACATCATCTAAAAACTATAATGGTTGATCGAATTTACAAATTTCTTGCTGATCTAAATATCGAATTTGATGAGGTCAGAGGTAGGAAAATTGGTAGAAAACCACTTCTATCCATTAGTGAAGTTTTTTCTGAAGTACGACATAAAGAAAGTCATTGGAATGTTATGCTTGGAAAAAAAAAATAAAAAACAAGTAACACTGTTGAAGGTTCTGCATTGGTGCATGAAGCACTTGCTAATAAAGCTTCAAATCATCAAAGATAAAGAGAATGAGAAATCTCGTGTCTGGCGTGACTATTGTGATAAACTTGGACGAACCCATGAAACTTGTTGGAAGCTTCATGGGAAACCAGCAAATTGGAAGAGTAATAAACAAGGTGAGAGGAGCGGCAGCAACCGGTTGTCTTCCATTACAAATACTACTGATTCTTACCAGTCTAGTGACGAAAAATTCATCAAGTCTTGAAGCTACTAAAAACTAATTCATCATCTAGTAATCATAATGTTCATTGGCACAATAAAGTAATTATCCTTATGCCTTATTATGTCTCAACTCATCTCCATGGATTATAGATTCTGAAGCTCCTGATCATATGACTAGTTCTTCTAAATTTATATTACAATGAAAAAGTTCAAATAGCAGATGATAGTTTTTCTACTATTGCAGGGTAAGAAACTATTCAATTAACAGAGACTATTGCATTTAATATTGTCTTTCATGTTCCTAAACTAGCGTGCAATCTTTTATCTATTATTAAAATCTCTAGAGATCCTAGCTGTCGTATCACTTTCTCTAAAAGTTATTGTGTCTTTCAAGATTAGGACTTGGGGAAGATGAAGGGATGTGCTAGGATAATCAGTTGTCTCTACTTCATTAAAAGTGCGACATGTAGTTAAAGCACTAATCTTGGAGAATATTTCCAAGGAGACTAGAAATAGTGAAATGCTTGAGGTTAGACACAATG